CAATTAGGCTCACTTTTGTATCTCCACCACCATTTTATAATCAACGATATGTTAATAGAGCGTAAGTATCCAATTCCAAGACCATTCTTTGATTTTGGAGATATAATCTTATCCCAAGATACCCAGTTGATCTTCTTCTGATAACTTATCTCCCCCCATAGAAATTGCCTCAATATTCTTTCAGGGATGTTTATAGCGCCAATCGGTGCTACAAAGATCGAAAAGAAGTAAGTGGGAAGATTCCCTAACACTGATTTAATCAGTGTAATCCTTCCACCAAAAGACAATGTTTTTACCTTCCAAGAGCCGAGTTTAGCTTGAAACCGGTCGATTACTAGTTGCTAGTTTGTTATGAGGTTCATGTTGGCTCCCACAGGTACCCAAGATAGTTAAATGGAAGGGAGGAAGGCTTACATCCAAGTGGGAGGTCCCAACTGACTGTTTCTTGTAATGTTCCTCCGACTCCAAATACGTTTGATTTGATAAAATTCACCTTTAGTCCCGACGAGAAGTGGAAGCATCTGAGTATTCACGCCAGATTTTTGATGTTGCTTTTGGCCCATTCACTCATGAATAATGCATCATCTGCATAAAATAAATGAGATACCAAAACGTTAGAATGAGGAATCTTAATTCCTTGGAAGATCCCTTCTTCACACGCAGTCTTCATGGCCACATTTAATCCTTCCATTGCCATGATGAAGAGGAGGGGGGATAGGGGATCTCCTTGTCTGACACCTTTCTCCATTACAAACTCTTCTGTTGGGGATTACAAACTCTTCTGTTGGGGATCAGAGGATCCATTGATCAATACTGATGCCTTGGACGAGGTGAGACAACCATGGATATAGCTCCTCCATTTGGCACCGTATCCCATTTGCCTCACCACATAATCCGATTATTCCCAGTTAACGGAATCGAATCCTTTATCGAAATCTACTTTGAAGAGTAGAATTTTCTTTTTTGCCTTTTTGGCCCAAGAACAGATTTCATTGACAATCAATAGACCGCCTAAGATGTTGCGAACTTCAACAAATGTCGTTTGAAGCTCATCTATGTTGGACCCCACAACTCCTTTTAACCGTATAGCAAGGATTTGATCTATAATCGTATACATAGATCCGATTAGACTAATAGGGCGAAAGTTGTTCAAGGTAAGGGGGTCATGGACTCTGGGTACCATGGTTATGAATGATGAGTTGCACCCATCAACAATTTTTCCCCATGTTTCAAAATGATTTACATAACTGTACACATCATTTTTGAGTAATTCCCAATGGTGTCTGATGCAATGAAATGTAAAGCCATCCGGGCCCAGAGATATGTCACCTCCGCATGCCCATAACGCCATTTTAATATCTTACATGGTGAATGGTGCTTCTAGAGTAGGGGTGTCAATTTATGACACGACACGATAAAAATACACGACACGAAACGAAATCGAGACAAAATCAAAATTTGAATTCGTTTTCGTATCGTGTTCTTGTCAAGTTTAAAAAACACGATGTCGTATCGTGTCGTGTTCGTGTTTACAAATCCACACGAAATTGACACGATTGAGCATGTATTTGTCATGTTTTCATTTTTATCGTGTTATATATGATTAAATATGAATTAAATAAAATAATAGTTATGTAATATTAACTTTTTCGTGTTATGTTGTTTTGTCGTTTTTTAATTAGTTCGTTTGCATGTTTGTGAAAAAAAACACGACATCGTGTCGTGTTCGTGTTACAAAAAACATTGTCGTGTCGTGTCGTGTCAGACAAAAACACGGCACGACGACCCGATTTGACAGGCCTATTCTAGAGTTAGGCTAAAAGTGTCAATTTGCTACCGGTAAGTTTGGGATGTGATGGCCATTTTTCGTGGAACTTGTTTTTTAAGAAACATAATACTTATTTTTTAATAGCCCCGACATCCGTATTCCAGTTCCCATTTATCATGAGACTACTAATAATGTTTTTCATGTTCCTGTTGTTCACATACCCGTGGAAAAAAACGGGTGTTTTCATCACCATCAACTGCCCATCTGATTCTTGATTTCTATTTTAGGTCTAACATTGCAAGTTTCTCAATTTCTATAATTTTTGTTGGCCATTCTTCCTTTCCTCCGGTTCAATTGAGGTGAGCCCTCTAGATTCTGCCAAGGTATCAAGATTTTCAATCATGTCTTTTAATTGTTTAAGCATGGCCTCACCCTTCGGGATAATCAAGCTCCTCCATTTTTTGATCTCATTTTTTAAATGTTCAAATTTTGCTGCCACAAAGTAGTCAGGGGGCTCATACCATTTGAAATTATTCTTTTACCCATCTTTTCCCCTTATAATTTTTTTTCTACATGCTAAGTCTTCTTCCACACCCATATTATTTTTGGTAGATAATGGTTACCGTACTACCACACCAAAATAATTTTCCTCAAAATAATTTTCATGTCATATTTTTTTGTTGAGTTTCTTATTTTTAATCATTATAAAAACAAATATAATTTATAAAACACATTATTAAATAAAACCATAACATTTAAATTGAAAATAAAAAATTACAAGACCACAAAAGAAAAGATACCATAAATTAAAAACATAAAACAATCCTAAAATTTAAATTTTGCTCTTAATTTTTTTTTTTCCGAATCTTCGACTTCAACCTCGTACCACTTCCTGATATCCGGGAGCCAAACCTTTGGTGCTACTCCTAAGAATTGTCAAGTCGTTCGTAATTTCTTCTCACTCGCCTCACTCCTTATTGGCCCCTTCTTGTTTATGAAGTATTTCAAAATATTCATGTTGTCAATAATTTTTTTCTTGTCTCATTTGTATGTGCTTTTGAAACTTCACTTCAATTTTCGCCATATGCTTTGCTTTTCAGTCAACTTCCTCTGCATATTTTTTCATGTTCTTCGCTTTTTCTCGTCCTACCGGTCATCATGGAGGGGAGTTCTCTTCAGTGTCTTCCAGAATCTTACCGGTGTCAGCGTTGAGGTCGATGTGAGTCCATGTGGCAGAAATATCGATCAATCTCGAATTTCGAGAGCACTTAGATTGCACCTCCATCGATGTTAGACATTGAGTTCATATTGGATATTTTATCAACATTTCCCATGCACTCTCAAACTCGAAAGTATAACCCATCTCGATTTAATATTGCACTTTTGTGAGTTTAAACAAATCGAAGTCATTGCAACCACTCTCATTTTTCGAATATAGCTTGTTGTAGAGCGAGGTGAATTTGGTGTACCTCGTATTAAATTCCTGCCAATTATTGGTGTTGTGGTGTGGATTGTTTTTCAACAAAGTGTGAAATTTGATGAGCTCTACTTCCCAATAACCTTTTTCTTGATACCATTTCCTTTACAATTATTTTTCGATGTCACACAACACGTTCCCACTAAAGCGTATTCCTCTTTCAACGCCCACCATTGTAGGCCTTCTTTATTGTCTTTGGTTTTTCCATTTTGATTTCAATTTCCCTCTCAGACTACCTTCGATTTGAGTTTCGGTAACAAATTCTACCGATGGTTGTATGGGTGGTGGTAGTTGGGTAGAACCAATAGGCGACACCTGGTATTTTTGGTATTTTTCATTTCAGGAATTTTACTTTGATTAGCAAAGGACTAGAGAAACTTTCTAGTTATGAAGCGAGTATAGAACCAATAGGCGACACCTGGTTACAATTTAAAATATGCTATTATATGTTTGCTCTAGTTCTTGTTGTTTTTGATGTTGAAACGCTTTCTCTTTATCCATGGGAAATGAGTTTTGATGTATTAGGTGTATCTGTATTTGTAGCAGCTTTAATTTTTGTGTTTATCTTAATTGTTGGTTTAGATTATGCATGGCGTAAGGGGCATTAGAATAGTCTTAGCTCCTGAATATTCAGACAATAAAAAGAAAAAAGAAGAACATTTAGATAATTATGACTTATGAATGCCATTGAGTTTCCCTTATTTGATCGAACAACCCAAAATTCAGCTATTTCAACTACATTAAATGATCTTTCAAATTAGTCAAGACTCTCTAGTTTATGGCCGCTTCTCTATGCCATTGAGTTTCCCTTATTTGATCGTTATGCACTGGTACCAAGGTCGAGTCCTAGACAAGCAGACCTTATGTTAATAGTAGGAACGATAATAATGAAAATGGCCCCTTCCTTAGTGAGATTATATGAGTAAATGCCTGAACCAAAATATGTTAATGATATGGGAGCATGTACAATTACATAGGGGATGCTCAATACCAATTGTTATAGTGGGAAATATATTCATGCAACCCTAATTGCTTTGGATCTAAGTTTTTCACTAATTAAATATGCAAAAGAAATTCCAAAGCAACAACCCTAGATCTAGCCTATATAATTCGAAATTTCACATATGAAAAGGGTTATGAAGATTACCTTTCTTGCTATATAGTAATAACAAGAATTCCTAGTTTGATCTTGACCTTTGAAAGCTTATTGCCGCAAATGTTGCACCTCTAATGGCTCACAACCACTTGTAGCAAGAGGATGAGAAGGAGAGGGAAGGAAACTCTTAGAATTTTGGCTAGGGTATCTTCAAAGAAGCAGTGGCCGAAAGTCACATGTATAAGGGTCCTTAAATAGCTTGTGGGTTGCTAGGGTTTCTAGAGGAAACCCTAATTTCCTGCTTAGGGCTTAAGCAAACCATGGACCTCCCATTAGAAGGCCTTGGATGAATTCTATAAGGCCTCCCTATAGAAATTCGTCCACTCCAACTACCCAGTTTTGCAACTATCAATGATTTTGCAAAACAACCCCTGTTCTTTTAATCAGTTCCTTTAATCTCAACATTAATTCCAAATTAAAATCTGATAAAAACTAATTAAATAATATGATTTCTAATTAATATATTATTTCCATAATATATTAATAAATCATTTATTAACCTCTTTCTCCATAAATCATACTGTCAAGTTGCTAAAGTGAAGGTAACCCAAAAGGACCATGCTACTATCAAATTAAGTTCAGTTGTATCTGCACCTCTTTCATTTCCTGCAAGATTTATAAACGAAGAATGGCATGTGATCGTGAAGATTCCTCATTTGCATCTGTTGTCCCTGTGATTGTAAATTAGTAAAAGCATAATATAAAAAACTGAAGTAGAGAAGTGACTTGTGTACTTGATAATATATTTCTCATTTAGGCAAAACGGCTTGAAACAACCTGTTCTTCAATAGGAGTAACTTGACCAATGCAACGTTTTTTCCCAGATCCTGAAACCCAAGAACTGCTACCAAGCACACGTGCCTCCATGTCCAGTACTGCATCCATTTTTTCCTTCCAACCAAATTCATCCTTTACTCTACCATAAATTTCTAAAGTGTCTATTCTTGGTAAAGTTGATCTGTTGAAAGTTGTTCCTATGGAGATTGTAATTTCTTCATCAGCTAGAAGGGATTCTGCAACTGTAAATGGGATGTCATACCATGACCTCATGCCTTCGTCTAGTTTTATAACTCTTTGGAAAATTGTTATCTCAGAGGGTATATGGTTTGCTAATGTGTTCCCCACAAGGACACGAAATCCAACCATTACTATGTTTGGATTCGAATTTGAAACTGTTACCTGGAATGGGAAAACACAAGGTATCAATCATGAATCAATACAAATAATTCAGGGACTGTTTCTTTTTTCTTTTATTTTCCCATCAAGTCTTGTATGGTAAAGTGGCTGAATGGTTAGCAACTATAAAACAGCCCCTAAGACCAAATGACCATTTTACCCTTACATCCCAACAAACAGATTTCATAATCATCATCAATTTTAACATGAGAGAAGTTGGTGGAAAAAATATTATGGGCAAGTAGGGGAAGGGTTGGTGTTTTGATACACTAAGCTGTCCAGATTAAGTGGTTAACCAAGAAAGCCCATCAAGTCAAACAAAAAAGTATGCCGACATGCGAAAGCCACGTTTCATCAGTACATTATTTAGGGAACCTTTTAATTATGCATTATCTCTAGAAAACCTTGATCATATTTATTGCATTTCAACTTTTATCGATCAAAGTCGATTATATCGAACGATAATTAACTTACACCTTATAAAAAAAAGTTAATTGATGAATCAATTAAAATGCACTCTTTCTTGTTCGGCCCATACATTTTTACAAAAGAGTTTTTTTATTTTTATTTTATTTTTAAATTATTATCACAAACGGATATTTTGTAGGAAATGACACGTAGATAGCTGACATTGCCAAATGTAAAAAGAAAGAAAGCAACGGGGATGAATCCAGTGGGATGGCAGTACGATTATACACCTGTAGAACACATATCAGAACCTAATCCAACAGGTGTGCCGTTAGTGTAGTGTACATATATGTGTTTGATAAAAGTAGTTTTATTGGTTGTATATCATTGATGGAATTATACCTAGAACGAAATTGCATTGTAAGTCTATAGGATTGAAATTTATGGTAATATGAGTGATTGCAATACTATTATTCGAGGAGTACAAGCTTGTTCCATAGGTACCTGACATAACACAAGGTGACGTGGCATGATAGGATATTCCATTTCCTCCACAAAATCCATCTCATCAGAGGCCCCACCACCACCACCATCGTTTGCTTCCTCTACCTCGAATGCCTGTTCAAACCAAAACAATAATTTTACAAAGGGCATTTTCGGAATTTTAGTAAAAACTTACTTTCTTTCTAAATTGTAACTAACCTGGCAGACAAGTAGCTGTTTTTGGTATTGTAACTTTGACACACGTTCTTTTAATTCAGTAACATAAGTTTTTATGCTTTGAATATTATCTTCACCTGTTGTTTTAGACATCATTTGAATCTTTTTCAGATTTGGTTTGCTTTGTGCAGCAACAACAGGAGGAGTAGTAGTACTAATATTTTTGTCCCTTCACTCTGTTGATTATATGGAGCCATGTTCTCACGCCCCCAACACAACTTCTTTAAGGGATCAAATTACTTTGAAATTGACCTTGATATTCATCGATTTAGTTACATAGCAAGAAAAGGATTGGATGCATTTCGTGAACGTCAAAACACGGGATTATGAATCTCGGCTTAACAATTCAGGTAATCTAAATCTAATCATGAATTGTTGATGTACTTTCAAACTATTACAACTTTTTCCCTCCCTAATATTTTTTCTTGTTAAAAAAAACATACAGGCTCAAAAACCAGAAGAATTACCCGAGAAAATTCTTTGCTGTTTGAGATTAAACAAGATTGACTTTGTCAATCAAGGTCAAATACCCACATTAGTCGCAGATGATCACAATTCCAATTCCTCTTGAAATCATTCTTCCTTCTTTTCTTTGGTAAAATGTTCCTGCCCACTGTAAGTACACAGCTGCAATCCCAGTAAAAAAAAAGGTGAATTTTTGCTTAAACCGAGTTAGAAAAGTAACAAAAGGTAAAAACTTTTCATTGTTTCTTCAATGTCAATTTTGAATGGTTAACGATACGGGTTCATTGTAATGTAAGTTGTTGTACATATTGATGTATCGATTGTTATTGGTTTTGTAAATACAGGATCATTTTCATTTTATAAATTATTGTTTTTAGTTTCATTTTGTATTCTGGTATTTACCTCTATCAAAATATGAACGTTTGACTTTGTTGAACCTGGTCAATCATTATCAGATTCGTTCGTGGGAACCGAAGCCTGTTACAAAATAAAAATAGGAATAAATCATTACTAAATCATAAAAGTTAAAAGTTAAAAAGTTCTAATAACAATCAAGACCAAAATATCCCCACACTAAGAGCCAAATCTGTCATCAAGTTCTTTTGAAAGATCTCCATCAGACATGAAAAACTTTAGCAATTGTGCCCTTGAAGGATCCTTTATGATGTTGTCTATGATATCAACAGCTTTGGAGACTCCACATTCGTGTGTGTCTATGCACACACAAACACCATCTAGGAACTAGGACGACGTTAGCTCAATGGTAAATTAATTAATATCTGTATATATATATATATATATATATATATATATATGTGTGTGTGTGTGTGTGTGTGTGTGTCTAACAGTTTAAAGTCTAAAGAAAATGACAAATTATCTTATGTTTCAGATGGTGATGCTTACTGTGTATGCGTTCTTATACGGGAGATTATATCTCTGTTTAAGTGGATTAGAAAAAGCGATTATGAAATCAGCAAAGATGCAAGGAGATAAACCTTTGAAAGCAGCCATGGCTTCTCAATCTGTAGTTCAACTTGGTCTTTTAATGGCGTTACCGATGATTATGGAGATCGGACTCGAAAGAGGCTTCAGAACTGCACTCGGTGACCTAATAATCATGAACCTCCAGCTCTCCGCTGTCTTCTTCACCTTCTCTCTTGGCACCAAACTTCACTATTTCGGTCGCACAATTCTCCACGGCGGCGCCAAATACAGAGCCACCTAACCATCTCAATGTGGTTCCTAGTCGTGTCGTGGCTGTTCGCCCTTTTCTTTTCAACCCATCCGGATTTGAATCGCAGAAAATCGTTGAAGACTGGGACGACTGGTCAGCGTGGATCAGAAACCACGGTGGAATCGGTGTTCCGGCGAACAAAAGCTGGGAATCGTGGTGGGAGGAAGAACAGGACCACCTCCGATTAGGGCTTTTTCTAACAATTTCAACATCGAAGAAACAATGAAGAACAGGACCACCTCCGATTAGGGCTTTTTCTACTGCTACTTCTTCACCATCTTGTATTTTTTCTGTATTTAGACTTGAGAGTATAATTAGGGCTTTTTCTAACAATTTCAACATCGAGTGGGAGATATGGTGGTTCCAGTAGGTAGAAGTGAGGGAAGAAGTAAGCAGCAGTCAATGTCGGGAGGGGGAAGGAAGGAGCGTCCAGGGCAAGAGGGAAAGGAGAAAAAAAAGGAAGGCGGGATTTTTAATTTTTTCAGAATTTCATTTCCCCCTACTGTTAAAGGATGGAACGCGCGTTCCATTAAAAATTATAAAGCGACATCCTTAGACGACGCGCATTTTATTATAGGTGCCCTCCGTGTTTTTTTTAGACACTAATTTAAGGGCGCGCAATAATGCGTGTCTTCTATCCTTAAATTTTTTGAAGAGATGACATTTTTCTAATGTCACTCTCCTTTGCGTAACATAGATCAATGAGCGTCGTATTTTGCGCGTCGTAAAAGGCCTTTTTTCTTGTAA